AACAGCCTAGGGGAGCCAGTTTGGTTGTGATGGCTCTGGGTTGAAAGGTCACATACTGCTGATTATCAGGACAACTTTCTAACAATTAAGCTACCAAAATGTGGAACGTCTCCCAAAAGGAAGCCTCATTGTGTTGGACATTTAGAACTAGACTGGATAAGGCACTAGCAAATATAAATGGAATAGATACAGGAAATATGAGTCTTTAAAATGAAAGGTATTGTTATTTTTATATATACATGGTTCTTTATAAAACTAAGGATATGACAACATTTACGCTCAATGACTGAAATCCTGGGTCCATTGACATCCATGGGAGTTTTGCAATTGACTTCAGTGGGGCCAGGATTTCACCAACTGTGTCTCCTTGCCTGAGGAGGTTGTGAAGGCTAGGACTATAACAAGGTTTAAAAGAGAACTGGATAAATTCATGAAGGTTAAGTCCATTAATGGCTATTAGCCAGGATGGGTAAGGAATGGTGTCCCTAGCCTCTGTTTGTCAGAGGGTGGTGATGGACAGCAGGAGAGAGATCACTTGATCATTACCTGTTAGGTTCACTCCCTCTGGGGCACCTGGCATTGGCCACTGTCAGTAGAAAGTGGGAGGGATAGCTCAGTGGTTTGAGCATTGCTAAACCCAGGGTGGTGAGTTCAATCCTTGCGGGGGCCACTTAGGGATCTGGGGCAAAATCAGTACTTGGTCCTGTTAGTGAAGGCAGGGGGCTGGACTCAATGACCTTTTGAGGTCCCTTCCAGTTCTATGAGATAGGTATAAAGGATACTGGGCTGGATGGACCTTTGGTCTGACCCAGTACGGCCATTCTTATGTTCACAATGTACGCATCATCACCACTGCTGGATCATGGAGAGAATTCCAAAGGAGAGTAATTACTCACTTCTACACTCCAGTAATCACCACAGAAAAGGAAATCAGACAGCTCCAATCTGAGCCAAAGGATGCAGGCAAATATGTCAGCACACACATGCTTTTGGGGACTGCAGTGTTTCAGATATTCTGGTCACACAACATATTTATTCACTTTATTAACAGTGGCATTAAGAAAACACAGCACTACAGTAGGGCTCAAAAAAAGAAAAGAAAAAAAAAACCCCAAGCAACCCAACGGTAATATTGTGGCTAAATGAAATAAAAGGAATAGCAGCTATGAAATTGGTCACAGCTCACATGAGATATTCCCAAATCTGGTTTGAGGATTGTTGAGCCTTCTCCAGTTAGGTATTTGCAACACACACGAAACAAAACAAAGAACAATGAACCTTCCACTGAAACTGCTCTCCTCTATCTAGAAAGCTACCAATTTCTTATTTAGATGATTAATAAATAGTATCTACATAGCTATTCAAGAATAATAAAACTGCTCTAAATACACATGTATCTATCTAGGTATAAACACTCTTCATCAGCTACTTTTGTCCTATGACAATGGTGCACCAAATACCCACATATGAACATGTGGATAATAATGCTGCACCAAGTACCTGTATATATATTCCTCCATAAATAAACTGAGTTAACTTGGAGTTAAAGTTGGTAGACTTCATTTCCCAGGAATGCAAACCATAGAAAGCAAGGGGGGGAAGGGGAAACAGTTGAATAATTAAACAATCCACTCATCCATTCTCTTTCTCAACTTCAAATGCCTCCCTTCTATCACACACAGACAACATCTCCACACTTGTCCAGGACAACTGACACAACAGACTTGACTCCAGCCTAGTTTATGTTTATGTGTTTAGATTATTAATAGAATGGGTGTGGCATGGATGAAAAACACGCTACATAGTTCTGTTCACGGTTTTGCATTGTGGTGCATAAGTATGGTATGATGTCAGATTGCTAAAGGTAGCTGTGATATATGATTTTCTATAATGGTTAGGAAGAGTTATGTTAATAGGTCAGCTATGCTTTTAGTGGTTATGAATTTGTTAGTAGTTTTTATGTAGGAACTACAGAACATAAACTTGCAGGTGTGTGTTGGTGTATTACACTTATGTTTGAGTTAAGGCTGCACCTTGGTTGGATGAAAATATATGGGCTGTCGGCAGTGGGAGAGAGATTCAACTGCTTATTTCCTTGCTATTCAAAGTTTTAAAGATTTTTAATGCTTTTAAAGATTATCAATCATCCATATTCATAATGTAGTCCCCTTTGTAAGTACCAATGTTGCCAGATGTAACTGCTGATACAGCCAAACATTTCAAAGCTAAATGTCATTGGAAAGCAGGGGTGCACAGTGGGGTAGGAAGAGCATGTTGACAAGGCCACCGCGACAATCTATGCGGGGGGGTGGCATAGGATTCCCTGAATGGGAGAAACAGGATTTGTGGGAGAGGGGGTTTCCCCATAGCACTGCTGCCTTGGCCCCTGGGTGGTGAGGTTTGGAGATTATGGTTGTTTAGCTAGAGGAACCTAAGTAAATGTGAGAAAAACAGGGCAACATTTCAAAGAGGGAGTATTTTTAAATGTTTCCTTGGCAAACGTTAGTCAATATTTCTCTTTAAAAATTACATGGGCTATTCAAAAGTCCCTGGAAGAGTTACTGTGCCAAAAGTGGAGCCTAAATTCAATGACCGAAGTCTGACAGAGGGTTGAGTACTGTTTAAGTGCAATTTTCAATACAAACTTAACTAAGAGATTACTACCAATGTCTTCAGAATTGTTACATACAGCATTGCACAACAATACAATAGGGCCCAATTCAGCTCCTTTTGAACTCAATGGCGTCGAATCTTCAACTTCAGTCGGAGTTGGATCAGAACATTAGTTCTTATTTGCACCCAAAATCTGAAGAACAAACATGTGAACTATTCCCTAATAATCACAACTCTGGCCCAGTTTGCAAAAAAAAAAAAAAAAAGAACCTTACCCTGGAAGATTACATTTTAAAAATCACATGTCATTTGTTGATTCCTTGACCTTTATTATTATTTCTTCTTATTGTGGCTTCCCCATCAAGCTTTTCTTGACAATTATGAAACAATATGTTGCTCTCCAAGAAACAGATTCTGAAGAATGCTGAAAAAGATTTGAATCCGTCAGTCAAATTTACTCTAGAATGAGTGCGGGGAGGGGTGAATAAATTTAAAAAAAATCTGTTTCTAGGCAGATCTTTGATGTTTTTCCATAAAAATTATGAAGAACTAAGGTATAGGAGAACTGTCTACTAATGAAAAGTGAATATTGCATTTATTTAACATTAACATTGCTGCACGCTGATCCGGTGAGTAGTGTAGACATACTCTTAGTGAAGTTACTCCAGATTTACACCAGTGTCACTGAGAGCAGAAGTTGAGCCAGTGTTATTTAACTAACTTTGCATGATGTATAGCTGCTAACAAGACTGTTATAGGTGTCTTGGGCCTATTCCTGGCTCCTATCAACTTTAGTCGATCAGGTTTGGGCCCTTTGAGATCCTCAGCTAAAGGGCAGTAATAATAAATGTAATTATTATTATAACAGAGTTGGGTGGTCTCCAGTGCCATTGGCCTCAGGAAATACTTGTAAGAGGTGTGAGAACCAAATGCTCCCTGGTAGATGTATCCTGTTGCTGAAGTGGTAGTCAGAGCCTTGGAGATATTCTCCAAGGCCTAGTAGTCCCGCTAACCAGAAGAGACCAAAATGTGCCGCTAGACACCTCTAGGTTGTGATGAGATTGGATAAGATGGTAGTAAGAGGTTGATGTGCTTGGGCCTGCCTTTCTATTTTTATCTTGCTTCTTGTGATTTAAAAAATGCCTAGAGCTAAGGATAGGAGCTTTTAAATATGTGTGATTGAAACAAATTAATATAGGTAAGCAATGCGGGAAAGCAGGAGGTGGAGGAGAGAAGTGGCCCGGGGTAACCTGTGGCTGGTCAGAAAAAATGGGCTGGCAGGAAGGGGTTCTCCCCTGCCCAGAGGTTGGTCTTCTTCCTCCTCATCTCCTGTGCATTGAATGAGAGAGGGAGGTTAAGGGGAATTCTCCCACTCTTCCCCTTCCCACTGGGTGGGGGAAAGGAGGATACAGGGAAGCTGTAGTCCACACATTCTCCTTTGCTTTCTTCTTCAATCATCCCTCACTTCACCATCTCAATCCCACTTCCTTTCATTTCTTACCCCATTCCTCTTCTCCCACTCTAATTCTATGACTCAGTCTCTACTACCCCTGATCATCCACTCCTCACCCCATCCTGCCTGCCTGCGTTCTTATGTAGGGTGCCCTCAGCACCACTGACTCCGAGTGCCTGACAAACAGTCATTCTAGTCTATTATTTGCACTGCAGCAGCACCCACAGATCCCCACCGTGCCAGGCACTGTACAAACCCACCGTTCCTGCCCCATCACATTTACATTGTCTCCTGCTCCTGCCCAGCGTGGCGCCTTGTTGGTCTTCCCTGGGGGGTCAGCATGGGCGCAGGGGTCTGCCCACCCAGAACCAGCTGCAGGAGTGGGGACCAAGGCACCTTCATGCATTTTATCTCCACACGGGTGGACAGGGCCGTAGCTTCCTCATTCGACAGATGGGGGAGCTGGGACGCAGATCCCCAAAGGCAGATGTTTGCTTTCAGTGGGAGTAAAGCACCGAAATACCTTTGAGGATCTGTGCCAGGGAGATTAAGTGAGGTGCTCAAGGGCACAGAGAGAGGCAGGGCCAGAGATGGTTTGCAGCCCAGATCTGCGTCCCAGCCACAAGGCATCTCCCTTACTCCTGCTTCTCCTCCATCACTCTTCGTTTCCCCTTCTCCCCACCTACCCCCCAGCCTCAAAACCCCTTCCCCACCCCAGCCCGCCTGAGCACAAGCCAGGCTGCGGCCGGGGGCCGTGAACCCCCCGGCAGACAGCGCGCAGACGCGCAAGGTCAGCAGCCGCCTTGCTCCGATTTTGAAACGTCCCCCGTGCGCCTGCGCTCCTGCTGCTGCCTGTAGCCGGTGCGAGGCTAGTGCTGGGCAAAGCGCAGCGGCCGGGCTGCTGTCACTGCCCCTCCCTCGCTCCCCGTGTGACTCCAATTGGACGCCGCCTGGTTGATTGGTGGGGCTCAGCCCCCCGGTCACCAGCCCCTGCCTTACCAAGAAGCGGGTTCAGTGCGCAGGGATCCTGTTTCACGCGGTGCAGTTTTTGCCTTGGGAAGCCAAAGTGTCCGGCGTGTGTGGTGCGTTCATCCATCATGCGGCACATGCTGCTGCTAGCCCTGCTGAGCCTTGGAAGGCAGCTCAGCCCATGCTGGGGCTGTCAGCTGCCCTCAGACTGGAGACCCTTGAGTGAAAGCTGCAGGGCTGAGCTGGCAGAGATCATAGTGTACGCCAAGGTGCTGGCACTCCACCAGGAGATGTACAGTATGTATAATTACCTGCCCTGGCAATATGAAGCCAGCGAGGGGGGGCTCTTTTACTCGGCTGAGATAGAGATGCTGTGTGACCAGGCTTGGGGAAGCATGCTGGAAGTCCCTGCAGGCTCCAGGCTTAACCTCACTGGACTGGGCTACTTCTCCTGCCACTCCCACACAGTCCTGCAGGATTACTCTTACTTCTTCTTTCTCAGGTGAGTAAAAACGTGTGACCCATGCCCTGCTTGAAAATGGGAGAGAACATTTTCTCCTTCCTAAATGCTCTGCACTTCTATAACACTTTCACCCCAGCATCTCAAAGCACTTTGGCTGCAGCTGAATCTCTAGAGCTTCTCCGAGGCAAACAAAAGTTAGCCTGGTACGTTTTCTGTAACTAAAATACACAGGGAGCCACCAGAAATGACTTCATATTGTATAGTGAGTGAATAAAAGGAAATGTTCTCTGGTGTGTAACTACATCATGGATGAGCCTTGTACATTTCTGTTGGAGATAATATTACCGAGCTGCAGCACATGTGGGAGAGCAAGTCTCCTTACTTTGGATAGTAGAGTTTCATACTCATTGTTGCTCAGGTAGGTACAAATTCACCTAGCAGAGAAGACGTGAATGTTACGCATTTCAAAGGAGAATACTTTCTATTGTGATTTTTCTTGGAAGGAGTGGTGCTTAATTAGTGCTTTCCTAGACTACAGAAAGTGGAAACAAACATGTTCAATTTATTTGAAATCTAGCGTGTGTGACAGACATATCTATAACAACAAAAATCAAACAATGCGTTTTACTATAGCTTGTTTATAGTTGGTGTGGTTTGGATCTTACATTTTTCAGTGTTCAATATTTACATTGTTCTGTAAAATTTAATCATCTGTGTCAGTTTCTTTGATGTGAAGAACTGTATAACTAGCCAGCTGAAGTATGAAGACAGTAAATGCACCATGATATATGCAGACAGTTTGGAAAGTTGTCCTTTAGAATGTTTTCGACAGACAAGTTGGTATGTTCATGGAGGATAGGTCCATCAATGGCTATTAGCCAAGATGGTCAGAAACACAGCCCCATGCTCTGCGTGTCCCTAAACCTCTGACTGTCAGAAGCTAGGACTGGATGAGAGGATAGATTACTCAATAAATTCCCCTGGTCTGTTCATTCCCTCTGAAGCATCTGGCACTGGCCACTGTCAGAAAACAGGAGACTGGGCTAAGTGGACCATTGGTCTGACCCAGTATGGCCATTCTTATGTTCAGGTTTAGAACTGAGCAAGTTATTGTTTTTTTCCAACTTGAGATAGAGGGTGTAAAGTTTTTCAAGCATTCTAGCTAATAACTTGATTTGCATCTCAGTTATCTTTTGAAAACTAAACTCAGTAAAAGTGATTTCCCCCCTCCCCCCCCAATATCTGTTTTAGAAGCCTGCAGCAGATAAAATACTAAATGATGAAGAATCACTTTCTAAAGAAAAATAAACATCCCAGCAGATGGCATTTGTTCCCATCTTGTTGCTAATTTGTGCTCAGTGATTTGTGGTATTAACTTCTTAGTGATCTTGCTCATTTACAAACCATGGTAATGTCTTTCATGACCAAAAGGATACAGCATTTCAAACAATAATTTGGCATTCCTATAGAACAGATTTATTTTGAGCTGTTATTTAACTGTGTACAGCTCAGCCTCTCTTTGTTTCTATGAGACCACAGTAGGTACACTAGATTCTGGTCAGTTTTACAGACTGGATAGGTGCCAGTGTCTATTCTCTCAAAAGTTTGGCACATGGGTTTAGCACTGATCCCCAAGTATTTACTCAGAAGATTTCTCTTTGCTCTTCTGGGTACCAGCCAAATCCTCATTTTAAGCTCATCAAAAGAATAAGAATAAGAAACTACAATGTGGGAATAAAGCCATCACAGTGAACCTTTAATCCAAAAATATTTGTGAAATTCACTCAGTAGCTTGTTTAGAAACACTCAGTGTATCTCAAACCAGGGGAGTGGTGGCAGAGAAGCATAACAAAACATGTTTTGATGGTGCCTGCTAATGTCTCTAAAAGCTAATTTTGTATTGGTTATTAATGGATTATTTTAAATTGTGCCCATCTAGATCTGTGGGTACCTGGAAAGAAATGGCAAACTAAAGCATAGAAAAATCAAACAAATGCCCCAAATATAGGATCATCCCAAATTATGCCCCCAGTTGTGCAATTGGCCCTTGGTGGGAGGACCCCTGTGCCCATGAGGAGCCCTGTTGACATCTGTGTGGTTGCAGGGACCTGCCTGTGTGGAACTCATTGCAGGATTGGAGCCGATTGGGCAGAACCGCTACTAGTTTACATTGCTGTCATGATAGCGGGTGTCATGGACCAATGGCTGTTTACACCCTCTATGAATATATGCCTAGGAGTCTCCTGCCACTCAGTGTAGCCCATTCAGGCAACAGTCCTGGTATAGGCGAGAAACACAACATAGATGGGGGGAAAATACCCCATGATTTGACATGACGTAAGTACTATCTGATTTTTGTTTCAGAATGGATGAGAATTATAACCTCCTTCCTCACGGAGTAAATTTCCAGGATGCAATATTTCCAGATACACAGGAGAACAGAAGGATGTTTTCCAGTCTCTTCCAGTTTTCCAATTGCTCTCAGGCGCAACATGTCATAACTTTCTCCAGTGACTGGGAGATTCAAGAGGACAACAGGGTAAGCCTCAGTGGGTAGGTGTATCCCCACGTCACTTGCAAACACAAGTGTGTGAAATATACAGCAGTTGCAATTGATGGTACCTTTCTTCTAGATGGTCATGTAATGTTTTAACGTAACATGGTATTGCCACAAGCAGACTCCCTGCTCTGGTCTTATCTGAAATGCTTGACTGTTCCAAGTGGGATATTGTTTCAGCCAGTGTTTTCTGTATTATGAAGCTTCTAACCTCACTCTTGCTGGCACAAAATCTATGTCCTTGATTGGGTCACTCTGCACGCTAAAAGAACACATTTTTAGTAAGCAAAGTCTCAGATGCAGATACCACTGGTGGGTGTGTCTACAATGGCTTTTGGCCTTTGCGGGGGGAGGGAGAGCGGGCATGTGTGTCACTTTCAGGTTTAAAATAAACAGGGGAAATACTTTGTTAGCAGTTTTGGTGGGGACAATTCATGCTTATTTACAGAATTAAAACTTTTGGACTATGTTTTTTCTGCCATTGCTGATAGTTTTATGAAGTTGGTGGTTTCTCCAAGGAGCCATGAGAATTGTAAGTGTCTCTCTAGCTTAGGAATGACTGGATATTTGTCATTGGCTGCAACTTCTGTCATGCTGATTCATGCAAGCTCTACGAAACCACTGTTTACACGTAGGAGAAGGAGCTCTATTGCCTTGTTCAGGAGAATGATGGTAGTAGCTCAATAGCCAATTGAAGGCCTCTTATTTACAAGCTGGCTCATAGCCAGCATAGGAAGTTTTAGCTCCTGGTTTTCCAGCTGGCCAGTGGTGCAAAATAATCAGAACACCGCTCAGGTCAGAGAGCAGTCACCATCAGGTGGAATTTTTATAGAACCCTGGGGGTTTAACTGTTTAACACTAATTTTCAATCATGTATTGGGGTGGGCCATAGAAATCAGGTGGTTTTTAAGAGGGTGGGGACGATTTATCCTACAAACAGATCCCATAGTTATAGAAATATTAGGACAGGAGATAGGACAGGCTTGTAGTCAAGGCACAGGGCTGGGAATCAGGGTAGTCTAGACCCAAACCTACTTCAGTTTCTCCATCTGTAAAATGTGGAGAATACTTACAGGTTACAAAACACTTTGAGATTTAGGTGTAAATCCACCCACACTGGGAAAGCCTTGCTGGTTCTCTGCTCCAGATCAGGGATCTGGATTTGAGCAGATAGGGGATAGCTTCTATGTTCAGACTCCAGTCTGAACCGCCTCAGAGTCTGAGATGTTTGCAGGCACGGTCTTGACTTGGGCCCAACTTACAATTAATTAATGGGGAGGGAGGTTTAACTGAATTTTCAGTTCTCCAGAGGCTGCTTGGGGTGAACGTTCGACAGCAAGGAAGGTGGTGAAGGGCATTTTATTCAACTTGTTTCACCCATCCCTATTAATACACAGGGATAGTGCAGGGGGACTGGGAGCTGCATTCTCCAGCCCTCAAAGGCCACTTGGCAGGCAGGTGAACGCTGCGGGCATAAATCTTGACGAGGTGACTCCTACACCAGCCACGCCAGCACTGATCCAGGTAATGAGAAAGAGGATGGGGCATATTCAGGACAGTGAAGGGATGTGGCAGAGAAGAGCTCAGCTATACCATGTGCTCCGGTGGACCCTTTGCAGCCCTTACTACAGCCAAGGGCAGGCAGCCCTGAATCAAGGAGCAGCGATCAGCCCCCTAACTGTCAATGGGTTGGATATAGTGGAGGATCAGGGCCTGAATCGCTTTGGTCAGAAAAACCTCTTGGCAGCACAGCATATATTTAAAACCATTGTTTTAATATGACCCTCCTGTGCCACACAGTTTTCCACGTGCCTTAGAAGAATGGCTCCAAATCGAGTTGACTTCCCTGGCGTAGCACCTGGCTATGCCAGCAGTGAATCTGGCCCATTCACTTTCATGGAAGTCACAAGGCAAAATCCCCAAAGGCCACTTGGGGAAACTTAGAAACAAATGTAGCAAAAGTGTGTTTCAACTGTTGTGCTCTCTGACCAGCTTCCAGCGTGGAATTATTTTGGTTGCTTGCTTTACAGGTTTGGACTGAGATTTTTATCCACACTGAGTGGATAAATTCTATCCAATTAACAGGCACCTTGTCTCCCCTCCACCTCCCTTTACAATAAGAAGTAAAAGCTTCCTTTGCACAATTTAAAAACCATCCAGGCTGGCCTCTCTCTCATTCATCTGGGGTCCCCTAATGTCTCTGTTCTCCAAGCTGAGTGCTGGTTTTCCTTTGAACTGTCCCTTCAGGCAGGCGTTCCCCACGCTTGGGAAGGGCTGCGATGATGTGGAGGTGTCAGGGTTTTATCCTCACTCCTTCATGAAAAAGGAGTAATAGCAGTGGGTCTCCTTCCTGATCTCCTCTGTTGAGTGCATGTTTAGGCCTTGTCTACACTACAGTTTAAGTCGATGCAAGTTATGTCGCTCAGGGATGTGAAAAAATCCACCTCCTGAGCAAAGTAACTTGCATCGACTTAATGCTGTGTCCACACCGCGCTATGTCGGTAGGAGACGCTCTCCCGCTGACATAGCTTCTGCCTCTCATTGAGGTGGATTAATTACATTGACAGGAGAACGTGCTCCCATTGATGTAGTGTGTCTTCACCAGATACACTTAATTGACGCCGCTGCAGCACAGTAGTGAAGAAAAATCTTTAGTGTCTTCGTCACTTCTTCCCCATATCAGACAAATGCCATGCCTGTGATTTCCCCATTGTTCTCTCCCACTTCCCTCAGTTATACTCATCCTACCAAAATCCAAACTATTTCAATTTCCAAATCCAACCAGCTGAGCAACCTCTTGTTCCCTTTTAAACTGAAAGGTGCTATAAATGCTGAGTTCCCATTGCAGTAAATGAGTGAGGTTTTGGGGAAAATGGATATTGTTCCTTCAAGCTTTTAAAAGTAAAAAACTATTAAAGGGGCGCCCAGAGGGGGAAGGAGGCAACACAACAGGGGACTGTCTCTTTGACACTGTCAGGCTTTAGGATTCCTATGTGGAGGTACAGAGTTATTTTCTGGACTCGCCCTGTTAGTCAGACCAGAGGGGTCTCATTAGCTGATTTGCATTAGTGTAAATGGCTACACAAGGTGCAGGGCAGTGGAAATCAAGCACCAAGGGTTTCTTTGAGGTAACTGAGAGCCTGTCAGGGAGAAGTCATGGGAATAACCAGCCTAGGAGGCTTGGGCTAAGGTCTATGTTGAAGTGTTAGTCACAAACCTGCACACAGGCAACCTGGGATTCTGGTCACTCAGCCTTGGATTCTGGGCTGCCAGGCTGTTTGGCAACACCCCAGTGGCTGAGCAGCCCTTTTTAGTACATCAATGCTCATTCTAGTAAGGGAAGGGGTTAGAAAACATGACCTCACCATTGCCTGCCAAACTTTAATTTGCCTAGTTCACCACGACTGGGGGATCATCCACACACCAGGCATTCTATAAGAAAAACAAGATCTCACTGTGGAGCCATGGAACATGCAGACTCTAGTGGACAACAATAAACACCTGAAAGACATACAGCATTAATTGCAACGGAAGCTACTAAATATAGCATTGACATAGCTGCCCTTAGTGAAACCAAACTTGCAGTTGAAGGGTCATAAAGGACCCTTCGGAGGTGGCTACATCTTCTTTTGGAAAGGGAAACCAGCGGAGGAAGACAGAATTTATGGCATTGTTCCTGTTAGAAACAGCCTCCTGAAATCACTGAAAGGTCTTACCTGTGGGCAAAACTGAATGCCTAGTGACTCTACAAGTTCCCACTGGAAATTCGTGCTTTGCGGCTCTTGTCAATGCTTATGCTCCAACCATGAACAGTACAGAAAAAATAAATGAACAGTTCTATTCTGGTTTGATTATGTCATTCTAATCCTAGGGGAGACAAACTCCTACTACTGGGAGACTTTAATGCCAGACTCAGAAAAGTCAGTGAGGCTTGAAGTGGTGTAATAAAGAACAGTGGAGTTGGGAAAATGAACAACAGTGGTCTTCTGCTACTCAGCAAGTGTGCTGAGCATGAGCTCATTCTTGCTACAAGCTTTAGGAAAGCAGACAAATACAAAACTTCCTGGATGCATCCAAGATCAAAGCACTGGCATCTGACTATGTCATTATACGGCAAAGAGATATGAGGGACATCACAATCACTAGAGCCAAGTAAGGAGCAAACTGTTGGGCTGACCACAGGATGATCGGAGCCATTTTAAGTTTCCACATTGTTGCCCCTCAGTGAAATAAAGAATTCTGAACAGATTTAAACTGAAACTGAACATAGCAAAGTTGAGACATTCATTTAATCAAGACAAACTGAAGGAAAGCAAAGGAAAAATTTGATAGCATTACATCCTCACCCAAGAACACACTCAAAAAGTGGAACATATTCACATCAGCCATCCTTCAAGACTTGTAAGACAGCACCAGGATAGGTTTGATGAAATAAAAAAGATCCTTCAGGAAAAGAACGAACGGTGTGTTTATGTGTTGACAAAACAACAAAGAATCAGTATCAAAGAAGGATAAAGTCAAATACGGCTTCATGTTCTTCAGGATAACTGGGGGGGAAAAGAAAGTAGAAATACAAGATTACGTCGATATAAACAACATAAAGTTGTTTTATGACTCCCTGAAGGCCATTTAAGGGCCATCGAAATGGACCAGCTCCATAAAGCTGTTCAGATGAATCTACCTCAATAAAGAAAAAGAGAGACATCTCTGAAAGATAGGGGCAGCACTTTGCTGAGCTACTCAACCATCCTTCTACTGTCAACCAACAAGTGCTAGAGGAACTAACCCAGCACCCTATACATGAAGAAATTGCCCAGTTGCCTACTGTTGAGGAAGTGCAAAAGCTATCAAACAAATGAAGTCAGGTAAATCACCAGGCAAAGACAGCATGCTGCTGTAATCTTTAAACTTGCAGGCCCCAAAACTGTCATCTATACAAAATTATTAAGGATATCTGGGAAACTGAGAAAATTCCTCAGGAT